CTCCTATATTTCTACAGTGTTTCAATCAAATCAGAGGCTTAACTATGAGATATAAAGCAAAGGAACATGTTGGCCCCCCAAACTGGCATTTGTTGAGATGGGACTTATTACTATAAAATCACTGCCAAATGAGAAGAAAGAAAGATCAGATACAGAGAGGAAGTGACATTACCGTGTTGTGCCAATGAGGAACAATGTTTTTGGATGCTGCATCTTTTATTTGAGATGAAGTATAAATATATTTGCAGAAGTAATTCTAGACAAATTACATAAGACACCAACTCTAATTCTTTCAGAGATATAGCTCTTAAGCAATTACACTCAACAAATGTGAACAACAGCATATTTTCCCTACTAAACAGTGTGGAAAATAACACAGAATAAGACAATGGCATGTGTCCTAACATTCAAGAAATTTTAATCGGGTTAAGAAAAAGAAGATTAGAAGATAAAACAAAATTTTAAAAGCATGAAAATATATGTAATTGAATACTAAATTGTGTAGCAAAATCTATGTGTGAAAGAAAAGAACATCAGTAAATACTAAGAATAATCGGAGAAGGCTTCATTAGGGAGGTTGGACTTAACTTGAGTCTTAAAAGGTAGACATTTGTTAATTAATTCATTCACTTATTTGGCATTCATTCACTAAGAACTGACTCTCTACCAAGCACTCCGTTAATTTCAGAGGACTTAAAGTTTAATTATGCCCTGACTTAATGATACACACAGTTATTCTGGGAAACATAAACATATAAAAAGTGATGCTAATACAGTATTAGGGCAATTATAGAGATAGGGGAGCGTTGTTGAAGTACAGGGATCACAGAAAGCTTTCTAAATCAGATGCCTGAACTAAATTTTTTTGTTTTTGTTTTCTGGTTTTTTGTTTTGTTTTGTTTTGAGGCAGAGTCTCTCTCTGTCACCCAGGCTGGAGAGCAGTGGTGCAATCTCAAAGGCAATCGATCTCAAAGGCAACCTCCGCCTTTGGGTTTCAAGCAATTCTCCTGCCTCAGTCCCACAAGTATGTGAGACTACAGGTGCCCACCACCACGCCCCGCTAATTTTTGTATTTTTAGTAGAGACGGGGTTTCACCATGTTGGCCAGGCTGGTCTCTAACTCCTGACCTCGTGATCCAGCAGCCTTGGCCTCCCAAAATGCCAGGATTACAGGCATGAGCCACCATGCCTGAACTGAACTAAGTTTTAAAGGATAATTTGCCAGGTGTATGTTTGCTGAAGCATGGAGTCATATCAGGTCAAAGGTGTAGAAATAACTGGTAGGACTTGGACAGTTGGAGGAGATAATGAAGCAGCATTTCAAATGCAGGCCACATTATCAAGTCATGGAGCGAGGAATGAACACGGCATTTCTGGGATAAACCAGCCTGACTGAGTGGAGGGTTTATATTGATAGAACGGAGAAATTTGATTAAATATGTAAAGCTGAATCTATATTTTCTAATTAATAAAAGCCAGGAAGAGGCACTTGATTTTTAGTAGCTGTTAGAGGTGCACTTCTAGAGGGTTAGACTTTTTAACAGGAGTCTGATAATTTACTTAGCAATATTAATCTAGCAGGTGAATGTAATAATGATTTAAATCCCTACATCTTAGTGTTAATGAGGTGAACTAAAAAAGCTATGACTACAATCCATGTGTGATTGACTGGAAAGTGGTGTTGGAGTAAGGACATGTTTATTTGCAAGAAACAAAATCTCAATCCAGTTAGCTTAAGTAAAGGGAGACAGTACAAGAATTCAGGCTGCAAACTCACAAGCATGTCAGGACAAGAAAGAAAGTAGGTCAAGCCACCTGGAGGCTTGACCAGTAAGTCAGCAAGTGAGGCTCCTCCTTCAATATCTCAGGAAGTCACCTGCCTCTTGGCCCAGCCCCTGTCTGCTAGGTAGCAAAACATTCTTGCTTCTCTTAGTACCCTTTAGCTCTGCCCGTCACCTATATAGTATACATATAGACAGAAAGCAGTTATTCCCATCCAACATGGCCTTTGTTCATCTAATTGTCATTTGAGACTCCAACTCCAAATTCCTGGCTTAAATAAATTGCTCAGCCATGCTCCAGTTGGGGGCAGGATGTGGCAAGGCACATGCTAGGGAGCACTGCAAATTTCTGATTTTGGGGCTGGAGCAGTTGCACTGAGCGGGAACAGTGAGTGAGTGACTGAGATATCCCACAAGGAAAGCCTGAACTTTGACTATAGCAATGGGCATGGGAAAGAAAAACATTTTTTGGAAGAAACAATAAAAGAAGTTGATGACTAGCTACACACAAAGGGTGAAAAAGAAAATATTTCAAAGTTGATATAAAAGTTTAAATTTAATTAACCTAGAGAATGATGGTGCTTTGATAAGGCTAAAAAATTTAGGAGAGAGATCTAACTGGAGCAGAAAGGCAATGTATCCCAATGGAAAGAACAATAAGTTTGAGATAATTAAAGGCTCACATGAAATGAAGTAGACAACTAAAAATATGGAACTGAATCTAAGGTTATAAATAGAATTGGATGTTATGCATTAAAATTAGCTATATGATGGTGAGAGTTAAAGCTATTTTAAAAGTACAATGGGAAAAGGTACTTTTTCTGAAGGAGAATATAGAAAGCGAAGAGTTAGGAGTCAAGAACTGAGACTGGGAATAACTACAAGGAGGACAATTTGGGACCCGTAAGTAAATGTCCTGTCCAGCAAAGAAAATAGAGAATGGGTGGCCAGAGAAGTCTGGGGAAAATACAAATAGAGTGCCATAAAGGAAACAAAAGCACCAATGTCTCTCGAACATTTTTTAATGATATGTTTTATGCCTAATTCAAACTCAGAATGGGAGCAGCTGACCAGCTACATTTTTTTTTTTTTTCCATTTCTGGTTTTTACTTTTGCTGAAACTAAGAATTTTGTTTTTTCAGTTTTAAATGTCACTTATTTTTAAATTCAATATTTCCTAAAAGAGTTATCAGGACTTTTTTTTTTTTTTTCAGATTGGAAATTAGTTAGCTAGTCTATGTAGATAGCTAGGAAAAAATAAATGGTTTTCATTTAAGCCATTTTTTTCCTTCAGTAATCTCCTTACCTGAACTAAGACTAAACTTATGAAATTTTAAGTTCAAAAGAGACCCTTTTCAAAATATTAGGAGTTGGTGAAAGAGGCATGAACAATGGAAGTCAATTTTCAATGGTAAATGCCATAAGAAGAAATTGGCTACAGCTTCCTCCAAGCTGGAAAAAGACAAGAGAACCTACGGGAAAAAGTTTGCTGCTCTTAAATTAAAAAAGAAAAAAATCAATGAAGTAAAATTACAATAGGGCCAGATGAAAGACTATGTGCTTTTACAGTTAAATCTGGTTTTGGTATAATAAGGAGGTATTGGGAACATGAACCCAGCCTCCTGCTAGGCTCTTTTCTTTCAAACACTGATATTGCCTTTAAACTAAAAACGTAGCAAATACCGTGACTGTGTTAAATCTAAATACTCTACCACTCTATATAAAGCTCATAGTTGTACTAATTGTTCTAGCAGTCGCTTCATACTATTCATTCATTTTGAACTAAAACCCCCTAAGAATTTTTCACATCAACCTCAACAAAGACTGTTTGTCTCGATTCTGTATTTAATCAAGTGACTTTTGAATCTGAATTTGAACATTTGCATTTTCTTTATGAGTTTTATCTCTTTCATTTTGGCACACACCTTTCAAATGTTTTTTGAATTCTTATGTTGTCAAAGACATACCAGTTATTTTCATAGCTTTCTGGTTCCTAGAAATGTAATTACCATGCCATATTTTTCCCCTCGTTCATTTTAAAATTGAGTTTCTGCTGAATGTCAAACTCTGTGCTAGATGTCAGGGGTACAGAGAGAAATCAAGTAAACTCTGACCTTAAGAGCCCCACAATCTTGTTGGGGAAAAGGGAGGAAAATATATATTTTGCAAACATTGTGACAAATGCAGTGACAGAGATAGGCTCAGTTGATTATGGAATTAAAAGGGTGATGTCTTGTGAGAGTGTGAAGACAGGGAAGTTGGAGGATGGTGTAGGGGACAGAAGAGGCCTTCCTACACGAGAGTAGGCTTCCTGGGAAAGGCAGTGCTTTCTCTTGTTTTCCTATCAATCAAGGGTATTGATCTGATTACAGCGTCCTGCAGACAAATGCTGAGGAACTCTAAATCAGTGATTCTTGAAATGTGATCTCCAGACATATTAGCACCGTGTGGAGATGTGTAGAAACGCACATTCTTGGGCCTCATCCCAGATGTGCTGTATCTGAAACTATGGAGTAGGATGCAGAAATCTGTTTCAACATGCCCCCTCAGGTGACTCTGCCACCCACTCAAGTCTGAGCACTGCTGCTCTAAATGCCAATCCTTTAATTAGTATCTCATCGTGGTCAGTCATTCCTATGGTAGCAATGGAGAAGTGGAGACACCTGAAGATGAAGTCAAAGGCTCTGCTTGGGAATACCAGCTCAGCCACTCACTAGTCTGTTTGGAGCAAATTACTTAACCTTGCCATTCAGACTACTGATTGATCACATCTTCCTCAGATTACTATAAAAATAAAATGAAAATATGTGTTTGCAAGTACCTAGCCCATTACCTAAAGTAGGAACCTTTTGTTTGTTTCACAACAGACTAATGAGTTTACCTATGTTGATACTATGAAAAAGCCATAGAAGGCTCTGAAGAATATAGAAATACGTGCATGTTTTCCTCTGGATAAGTGGACATGAGAGTTATCGTCAACATTCGGAAAGCAGTACTGTAATCCATCTTAAGATGGATTTTCACTTATCAATCTAAAGGGAAATAATTGATAAAAGGAAGATTCAATTCAGTACAGCAAGACATAGTCTAATAATGGAAAGGATCAGGGCAGAGGGGTGGAGAGTCACTGCAGTTTTCCATATAAGAAGACATTTTTACTTCTTATATACCTTCCCAAGCAAGCATCAGTATCTAATTCTGTATGATTGTTACCTTTAGCAGGTTATTCTGCATGGTTTCTGAAGATTCCCAAATATCTCACAGCAAGAGGCAATGGCTCTCCAACTGAAGATGCTTCTGCACTCTGCAAATAAGAAAATTTTTACAAATGAGTCATCACATCCATATTGTCTATATGTCACAAATATAAATACTTTCTGTATTTCCTGAAAATCTTCATGACCCACTTTATTTGTGGCATCCTACTAGCTAATGCTCTAAGTTTACACAATTATACTTTGTGTCCCATTCTCTTCTGGGTTTATAAAAGAGGAAATAAATGTGTAAATGTGCTAACCTTATTAAAATTTATTTACTTACCTATTTTATGTCTTAGATGTTGAAACATGCATCATTTTAAAATAATATATTTTCTGTTAATATTCTTTTGCATGATGGAGTCTTTATTCTTTGCTAAAATGAGGTAAATGCATTTTTTTTTAAATCTGAGAAAGGCCTGGGATCTATAAAAAGGGGACATTTCCAATGAGATTAAATTTTAATGTTCACAGAACTACATCAAAGCAATTAAAAAAGAGTGAGTTAAATATAGCTTTCCCCTGACAGAGATGCTGCCCTTAGTAGGACACATTGCTATATTCTGTAACCAAATACACTGCCCCAGTTTACTTTAATTCTAGCTAAATCTGTATACCCTCCAGAGTGGTATCCTTGAGAAGTTAAGCACCACGGTTATTTAAATCAATGATAAAGTGAATAGCAATAATGGAGCTTGCCAGGTGCAAGTGATTGGCAGATCTGCATACCAGATTCAAGCAGACTATACACATTGACCTTGTAGGCAACACCCAGGACAACATTGTGATAGCAAATATTGTAAGGGTCTCTGATCAGAGGCCATCTCTTCTAACAATTACTTACTGTGCTAGCACAAGGCATGCTCCCAAAGTTAAACAATGGTACTAAAATTATGATGGAGCTATTTGCCATATTAGGTGAGTTTCTTAAGAGCAAGACCCTTGATTTACCCATTTCTATATCCCCTAGAACTTGGCAAACACTGAATGTTTAGTGAGTTATTAACAAATAAATAAATAAGTTAATTTGTGGGAGTTGACATCTCCAGATTGCCACTTTCTCCCTTTGATGCATTGCTTATCACGTGGACTCCTTGTGCTTTAAAATAACCGCCAGGGGTTGCTGTTTTATATTTTTTAACTTGCAATGTCTTCAGCATACTTTTTTAAAAACCCTAACACACTTCTGCAAATTGTATTTTTCAAAGAAGTCCACAGTAATATATACCATCTCACATAATCTTCTTACAGGTGATATTGACCTTCCTGCCATTGAGCAGTGAGGTCTATGCCCCTCCTTTGAACCTGAATAGACTTGCCTTAACCATTGGAGTATGGTGGAAGCAACGCTGAGTCACTGGAGCATAAAAATACCTTGTTCTATTAGTAGGCTCGCTCTTGACACCCAGCCACCATGCTATGAGAAAGCCAAGCAGCCATATGGAAAAGCCCCTTATAGGTATTCTAGCCAAAAGCCTCAGATGAGGCCCCAGCCAATAGTCAGCATTAACAGCGAGATATGTGAGCAAGGAGTCCTCGGATGATTCCAGCCCTCAGCCTTCAAGTCTTCTTGGTCTTCAAACCACTCCAGCTGATGAAAGCAAGGAACAGAGACAAACTGTCCCTCCTAAACCCAGCCCAAATTTTATGAACCCAGCCGATTCATAAAAATGATAAATGATTGCTCTTGATTCACATCACTGCAATGGAGATGATTTGTTGCAAAGCAATAGATAACTGGAACACATACATACCAATAAGTGGCTAATAACTGCACAGTTCAGTCATCACTAAATGAGCACACCTGTGTAATCATCATCTAGTTCCAGAAATAAAGCATTAGTAGTATCCCAGAAGCCTGTCCAGATCTCTTCCTGTTGTAACCACCCCCTAAAGGTAACCATTATCCTGATTTCTAATACCAGAGATTAGTTTGGAATATTTTGAATTCTATATTAATGGACTCACACAATAGGTACTCTTTTGTGACCAATTTCTTTATCTCAATATTATGTTTGTGTAATTAATCCATATTGTTGCAAAATCTGTAGTTTATTCAATTTAATTGCTATGTACTATTGTATGTTCATACATACAATATGATGTATGTATGTTCTACTGTTGATGAATATTTGGGGTTCTAACAAATGATACTACTGTTAGTATTCTTGTGCATGTCTTTTGGTGTACATATTCGTCGTATATTTGGGGGTGTTATGCCTAGGAATGGAAATTCTGATTCATAAAATATACAAATGTTTGTTTTTACTGATAATACCAAACTATTTTCCAAAGTAACTGCACCAATTTACACTCCTATCAACAATGTATAATGTTCTTCCCCAGCACTTTGTAATTTGAGTCATTCCGCTGGACAATATTAATGTGCATTTTCTTGATGTTTAATGAAGTTGAGCCCTCTTTATGTTTGTTAGCTATGTGTGTATTTTCTTCTGTAAACTACTTGTTCAAGTCTTTTGCCAATTTTTATATTGGGTGATCTTGTCGTTTTCTTATATGTTTAAGAATTCATTATATTCTACAAGTCTACAAGAGACGTGTCAACCGCCAACTCCCCTCAAAGACTATTAAATTAACCTAATGATCAAGCAAAACCAAATTTCTTAACCTACTGTTGTGATGAACAGCATCAGTTTGACACTCTTCAGTCTCAGAAAAGGGAAGACAAGAGTGGATATCCATGGAATTTTTTAAAATCTAAAATCAAATGATTTATGAATCTTTCAATACAGACATCTGATTGGGCCTGGGAAAAATTCATAATAAATTAGTATAGGATTGAGGGACCACAAAGCAAGGGTCATAAAGTGAGTCTTCATAAACAAACAGTTGTTGTATGAGATTTTCCACTAAGTAAGCAAACTATTGTACTGAGAAGGAGGCAGTTTTTCTAGATGAACAATCTACTCTTTGGACAAATTAGTTTTCATGAATTTCCTGAAGCAAGTAGTGAAGTTATTTATTGTTTTCAGTCTTATCTTTTTGGCAAAACTTTCCAGAACAAATTGTAAGTGGTCTGTTTCCAGTCCTGAGAACTAAGCTCTGTAGATGCAGGTTGTTCCAGTTGTCAGACCCTGTGTCACAGACATTTTGCAAATATTGTCACTCCTTTGTCACTTTAGAGTGACCATCCTGATTTGTCTAGGACTCTTCCAGTTTTAGCACTAAAAATTTATGTTGCAAGAAAGCCCTTAGTCCTGGGCAAACGGGGATGGTTGGCCACCCCACTTGCTTCGTTTCTCTTAAATGTATCTTTTGACAGACAAAAGTTCTTAAACTTATTGTAGTGCAGCTTAACAGATTTTCTTAGGATTAGTGCTTTTTGGAGTCCTGTTAAGAAATCTCCTAGACAAGTTTTTACATATAGCCTAGATTTAATAAACATATAATGTAAACTTTTGTAAGAATTTGATAGCTCAAATGGATTTCCTATGCTTAAAAGTCCTTGTATATATTAATTTTGAAAATGATATTTCAGTACCAAAAGCTAAGCTACTTAAAGAATCCATTAAGTCTTTTTTATATTGTTATTAAATATAATGAAAGAATGAGCAAACTTTGATAAATGATGGTAGAAATTTCATGAAAAGATTATGCTATTTATGATTAAGCTTCATGACTCATAGTAAATGAAAAAATATATATCTGAGGGTTTTCTGTCTTTTTTTTCCCAAATAATGCTGAAACTAGAGCCTAATGTCACAAATATCACAAGCTGCTGGTAGCATTACATTTTTTGACAAAATACTTGGTAGTCACTTTCTCATTTCTTTTTCTTTATTTCTTTTTTGTTGTTGTTGTTGTTGTTGTTGTTGAGACAGGGTCTCACTCTGTTGCCCAGACTGAAGTGCAGTGGCATGGAAACAGCTCTACAACCTCGACCTGGGCTCAAGTGATCTTCCCATCTCTGCATGGCTGGAATCACAGGTGTTCCCCACCATGCCCAGCTAATTTTTTTTTTTTTTTTGTAGAGATGGAGTCTTGCCATGTTGCCCTGACCCATCTCAAACTCCTGGGCTCAAGTAATCCTCCTGCCTTGGCTTTCGCAAAGTGCTAGGATTACAGGCATGAACCACCATACTGGTCTTCTTTCTCAAAGTTAATGTCCTCAACAAGATGGATCCACCTCATCTCCATCTATTCCAGTCTAGATACCCTACAAAATGCTCATCATCTGACTAAAACAATTACAACAGGACTCACTCTTGATCTTTTTCATACCAGCTCAATAATTTCATCGCCGTCCTTATCAGTTGAACCTTTGTTTGGGCATTTATGTCATTACTATGTGTAAGGCACTGTACTAAACACCATTAGAGAGACAAAGACATATAAACAGCAGTCTTTGCCAGGCATTTCTCCTCCTTAACACTTTGTAGTCTAAGTTTCAGAAGTCTACACATTTTATGAGTTTTCTCAAACCACTTATCACCTTTGCTGCCTCCACCTTCATCATAATGCCAAGCCTTATATCTCCTTATTAATGTTCTTTGATGTGAGTTCTATCACTCCAAAAGTAAAGTGCCGTAGTCCTACACTAGATGGAAACTAAGACGTTGTTGATTCAATTACTTAATGTATTAATCTTTCCATAGATAACCATATATCTTTTATCTTGTCTCATATTTCTTATAACTTCCTGGATTTTTCATTTTATCCTTAAGATACTTAAATATTTAAAACCTGCTTTATATTTCCAGAGTTGGCCACAATGGAGTAAGCACACACACCCCTACTTGTTTTTTCTACTGATTATACCTAAAAATTCTGGCAAAATTTTAAAAATCAAAATCTGAGAACTCTGAAAAGATGAATTGGAGAGGTATGCCAAAACCTGAAGAATGAACCATAACAGGCATGATTTTTCTGGTTTTATTTTTCATTTTTTACCTCCTGACTCTAACCCAATAGAACCCGAGCCACAGAACTGCACTAAAGCAATAGAAGAATAGTTCAGATACCTTAAACCAGTCTTTCTAGCCAGGAGAACTGACAGAGATGGGTCCTGTGATCCAATGAATGTAGGGGAATCCTCATTGTTTTCTTCCCTTTCTTTTCTCGCAACTTTGCCCCAAAAGCAGCCCCACTCAAGCAGAACTATGTACCAACACGAGCATGTAAAATGTTAAGATAGACTTTTTTTTCTATCCAAGTGATACAGAAAGAGGAAAAATTATATGGCTGTATTTGCCCTTTTAAACTAGAGACACATACCCACCTTTTAGTCCCATCTCTTGTTTCTACATTCTATTATTATTGAAATGTCATAGTCCTAGCCAACTACAGAAATTTCCAAGGTAGATAGATCAGCTGGCCTCAATTTCAGCCCACTCCATACACGCTCTAGGTAATAATTACAAAGGAACTGGAATTAGACTACTTACCAGTAACATGAGATGTTAAAAGTCATGGAAGAATGCCTCCAGAATTTTGAAGGAAAATTATTTTCAATCTAGAATTCTATACCTAAAAAACTATCAACCAAATGTGACTGCAGAATAAAGAATATTTCTAAACAACCAAGAACTGAAAACTATGTCTCATGTATCCTCTTTTATAATATTACTTGAAAATGTGCCCCAGCCAAATAAAGAGGTAAATCAAACAAGAAAAAGACATAAGATCCAGGAAATATCAGCCAATGCAGGAGATTAATTTTTAAAATCCCAGAAAATTGGTTGTTCGATGTGCATAAGAGAGCAATCATTTCATATTGGAGTTAGAATATGAAAGTGTCTAAGAAAGATATCCAGGAAATAGGGATTTCATAGAAATGACACTATCCTTGAGAAGTTTTAAGAATTGAAGAATGCAATAATGATAGAAAATAAAATGAAAATATGTAAGGCAAGAAGTAGTCCCAGGGAAAACAAAAAGTTGTGTCAGAAAGGAAACTTAATCAGAGTTTGATTCTTGGCAGTCAAATGAACAATATTTAATAGTCACGGTACAAATATTGTTTATATTTTAAAAGTTTATAATTATTCGATATAAAAGTATTAAAAAATAGTTATGGTTAGGGAACTGAATACAAATAAAAATAACACCGATGTTGCAAAAGTAATTGCATAAGTTGAGAGTTGGAGATAGGGAAGGAGAGATATCAGGAAGGGAAAAGACACCAACAATCTCATTTTACAAACTGGGGAGTCCAAAGGCACTACCCACAATTAATAGAACAGAAAATAGAGCTATTAATAGTTGTATATTATTTACAGTTACAAATTTCATAAATAGAGAACTAAAAACTAAATATATAGAAAGGGACAAAGGTGAAGTGGAAGTGAATTATATTCTTCTCTAGCATAGATAAAAATCAATAGATAAGGTCTAATATTAATAAATTATTTTTAAGGTATGTAGTGTTAAGAGCAAGGGTCAGCAAACAATGGCTGCAGGCCAAATCCAACTCATGACCTGTTTTTGTATGCCTGGTGATCTAAGAATGCTTTCCTTTATCTTTAAAGAGTGGTCAAAACAGAAGAACGTGTGACAGAGACTATATGTGGCCCATAAAGCCTAAACTATTTGCTATTTAGCCATTTAGAGGGGAAAAAAGTCAAATCGTGATTTAGAGATGTGGGAGACACTCCTCCTGGGGTCTTTTGTGCTCAAACACACCTTGCTGCGTATGCTAGAAATGCAGCAGCCTTAAATAATGAAGTAATATTTCCCATAGGTCAGAGAGCAGGCTTGTTTACTGCTCATAATGAAACAGTGGACTCCCTAAGCTCAATGATCCTGCCCTGTCACACAATTCACTGCATGTGCGGCTGACATTTGTTCGGACCCTCCTTGTCATCCCATGGGACTTGAGAGGACAAAGGGAACTAACACAAACAAGACGATGCACATGTTACTTGCTGTGCTGTCAGTAATGCATCATTTTTCACTGAACTAGGAGCATCACTGGAACAGTAACAGACTAAGTTATTCACTTACCAGCAATGTAAATTCAAGTATCAGAGGCTGAGGTGGGAGGATCGCTTGAGCCCAGGAGTTTGAGATCAGCCTGGGCAACATAGTGAGAACTTGTCTCTACAAAAATTGTTTTAAACATAAAATATTAAATTCAAGTCCCAGACCCTGATTGAGACAGCTATAAAAATAACTGAAAACAGAAACAAGTAAGTGTTCATCTTTGCAGTGGAGAGAGAGTGGAGGCCAGTCAGGGAATCATTACTTTTCACACAAGACCTTCTTAGTATTTTATTTTTAAAATATATATGCATATGTTACTTTGATCATACATATATATAGTAAGATACTCCCACACATCACCACTGTAAATTGAATCTGGCCAGATTCGAAACTATCTTTGACAAGTACAAAGCAGCAGATGTGACAGGTGTAACTTTTAAACTTGGACCTTAAGAGATCTTCAGCCTCTACCCAGAATTCTTAATATTCAAATCCAGCCATGGTGTTGTGAGAAGGCCAAGATATATGGAAAACCACATGGAGGAACAGAGAGGCATCTTGGCCAAGAGCCCCAACTGAACTCCTAGCCGACTGCTAACCAAGTGCTCTCGACAGTCCTGCCTACTTGAGTACTCAGTTGTCTTCAGCCCCTAACAACTCTTCACGAATGAGAGGAACTGCACAGCTGATCCCAATCCGTCCATAGACTTACGCGCAATAATAAATCATTATTGTTCTTTAAGCTGCTAAATTTTGGAGTGGCTTATTATGTAGCAAGAGATAGCCAAAATAGTATACATTTAATGTATTTAACCCACGTGATAGATTAAAGGTATTTGCATTAACGTATCATCCTTGGATTGTTTATCCAAATACCTTATTTCCAACCTTTTATATCTTTTGACCATTGACTGGTCATACAGAAATTATTTTTTCTTACTAGTAGTCATGAGTGAGGCATATGTCATGTCTCTTTTCAACACAATGTATTGCTTTCCTAGAAATAGATCTGCCACATGTGCACCACTATTAGAAAATTTGCTTTTGAGGGACAAAAATAACTACAGTTTACTCTAACGTGCCTTATTAGGAATGTTTATGTTGCTATCATCTTACCAAGGACTTTTACATAAGCTATTTTTATCCTAATTGTTTTGATGCATTTTGATACATACATACACACAATTTTTAAAAACTTCGATTACCTACAAAGAGAACATGCTTAGTTACCAGACAAATGCTAAGATGATCTCCAGATGTGTACCCTATGCCATCTAGTGACCTTTAAAGCTATGCTTTGCACCTTCTCATTCACATGCAATACACTGACTTTATGAGTTAGGACCCTGTATTTCAGTTGTAATCATGGCCCCCAAGTCTTTCACCTCAAAGAGCCTTACCTCCACTAAGCCTGTTCTTCGCTTTCATTGCTTTTGCAGGCTTCTTTCTCCTTTATATTCCCCCAACCATTAACCTTTTCTCTTAGTATTTGCATGACTCCTCTCTTGTCTGTCCACGATCAACCGTTTCAGCAAATCTACACAAGCATCACCAGGC